CAAGCAGCTCCTGAACCCAAAAATCGTTAGCAACTCGGGCCTGGACCGCAATTGTATATGCAAATGAACAAGGGTTTTTTTGAAAAACGACCGTTCGAGCAATAATTTCAATTTTTAATGAACTGAAAATTTGCATATTTTCAAAAAAATCGTTCGCAGCTCGGACCTGAATCGCAATCGTATGTGTAAATAAACGTGGATTTTTTGACAAACGACCGCTCGAGCAATACTTCCACTTTTTAGTGAACTGGGAATTTGCATTTTTTCAAAAAATTTGCATTTGTCACTTTTTAACGAAACGAGCTTTTACCGAAAAAACGACCGGACTTCATGCAAAAAACCGGTAATCATGCACTTGGATGTTCGTGCGGCTCTATAATGCACCACCTTCATCCCAACTGACACCCTTCCTCTTGCATGCCGGAAGGGGTCAAAGCATGGCCGATATGAACCCATGTGTTAGGCCACAACGTAAGGACCATTCTCGCTAATAGCGATTTACGAATTTAGGGCAAAAACGCATGATCGCACCGGACAGTCTGGTGCTTTCCAGCCTAGGTTTAGTATTCATAATTAAATTTTTCATTTTCGTAATTCATTCACTACTAAATATCTAATTCTGTAATTTTTTCATGATTTATTTATTTCTACTTACTCACCGGGAGTAGGAGTTAGAGCACCGATGCCAAATGAAATGAAATTAGTTAGTGAGGTGATTGTCATGGAAGGTCCAACTTCCTCGAACACCAGGCCGAGACGAACGCTGACACTACTTGCATGAAGGGCCAAATGCTGCCAGGAATGAATCATGAGAAACGCATCATCTACTCCTGAAAATACTCGCTCCATCATTTAACAGTTATGCACAATTACAAGTTTTTGAAATAATGCTGAAGGCTTACACAGAAAACGAATTCCCTCATGAGTAGCTGTAACTTCTATATGAAACTCACTGGAAAAAACTAGAACTCCTCGATTTGCTTCAGCGAAAAAACAAAAATCAAAATTCCCTATCTATTCATGAAGGCACTTGGAAGCAGTTCAAGTGCCAGCAGGTGTCAGTAGCAACCACTCACTAGCAAGTTTGTCAATGGCCCCTCCTTCGGGGATTACTTAGAAGCAAGTTTTGACTATCCGACATACAACATTTACCATCAAAACGAATGAACGAATCGTGAGAGATTGGGATTATCTCACTGACGGAGTTGAATCTCCAATCTTTTGCATGAGAACAATGCTACTTGCCACTGTGCCATATCCGCTAGCGCTTCGACAAAACTCTTTCCCAAATTCCAGGGCCTACGCAAAAAATTTTTAAAAAAAAATTTTTTTTTTAGAAAATTTAAAAAAAAAAAGTTTTTTTTTAATAAAATGCACAGCTTTCTGAAGAAACGAAAAATTGCACTAACCGATGCCGGTGATAAGGAATGGCATGACAAGCATGAAGGAGTTAGTTCGGATTCCAAACAACGAGATAATACCATAGGTTGATGTTATAGAGAGGATTGGGCAGAGGATAGCGCCAAACGCAACCAGAGCCTTGCCCCAATCCATAGCATCGTTGAAAATTGCACCCGTTAGTACTGTCACCGTCACAAAAAACATCATGAAGCCAAAACCTTCAAATGAGTTTATTTGAAAAAAATGACTGCTGCACAGAATTCTTCTCTTTGGTCCGTTTATTCTATACTTCGGAAGGCTATACGATTAGCTGCGAAGAAAACGAAAAAAGAAGAACCCTCTTCCACTTTCTGTAAAGAACAGTGAATGCGGGAGGGTTCTGACGCCATGATTTTGATTACTAGAAAATTTTAAATAATGTAAAATCCATGAGTAACCTGCGGCGAAGTATGGTGTAAGCTTCTGACCATCCTTAATCATTTCTTGATCGAGAATTTCCGTACCAATAACCTAAAATAGCACCGTCACACTGATGATTTATTGAATACTCAACCAACCATCAGTACATTCCCGATTTTTCCGAATGAAAGCCCAGGCCGCAACATACCAAGCTTGCCGGAGCGGTCATGCGTGCTTGCGTTAAACTTAAAGCAGTCAGTTCGTTAGCTATATGAATATTGTTGCTTTACACTTAACTCACGCAAAACCATTGCCATAAATCACGGTAAATCATGCACAAAAAGAGAATGAACAAATTTCGTTGATTGGTCGTTCACTGAAAATGACCTAGCCGTTCTAGTTCTCGGGCTAGCAATTTTCACGCCAAAAATTTTACATATCACTATGTGAGGAACACGCTTGCCTGGGAGCTGAATTTGAAATCTTTAAGTTGTACATGGACAGGGAACATTACCCCAAAATTTCAGCTTTCTAGCTTTCCTGGTTCCCGAATTAACAATTTTCCCGCTAAAACTTCCATACGCCTTTATATGAGTATCACTCGTATCTGGAGGCTGAAATTGAGAGCTTCAGCTAACACACGCACCGGGAATATTCCTACAAAGTTTCAGCCCCTTATCTTGTCGCTTCCCTGCCAAAAAATTTGCATATTTTTTTAAAGCGTCCGTGCGCGGCACCCAAGCGTACGCGGGGGATGAAATTAAAACGGGAGGGTCGCGCATGGATGGGTGCACACTCCTAAAGTTTCAGCCTTCTAGCTTTTCTGGTTCTCGAGTTGAAAGAGGATGACAAACAGTGCGAACAGACAGACAGACAGACACACACAGCCTCTTCCCAATGTACTTTTTTGCAATTTGCATATATGCAACCAACGCCCTTTCTGCTGCATTCTAGAAGAGGCCAGAGCACGGCTAACATGAGCCCAAGTGTTAGGTTACAGCGCAGGAATCATTCCTGCGATTAGCGATCTGCGAGTTTAGTACCGAAACACATGATCGCACTGGCAAGCCTGGTATGTTCCACCCTGGGTTGCATTTATATATATGCAAAAATGCATAATTAGGCATTTTTAAGGATTTCACTAAATTTAGTCAGCAGTTCTTGAATAGGGTGCTGCCAAAAACCAAAAACATCCTACGTAAATTTGCATAAACCGAAAATACAGGACAGAAAAATTATTTTCCCTTTTGCTTGTTCATTGAGAAAGTACTGTTTGCACTGGGGTCACCAAACTGCAGGAAATGCGATGTGATAAGTTCTGCCGGCGGTTATCTACGCGACCCCTCAGTTTTGAAATCAGACTATACAACTCTGTGTTCCCTGATTTCTAAACCAATTCCAAAATTCAGTTGACGTTGTGATTACATTAGCTATGTCAGCTTTTTTTTTGGTGGTTTAGATTCCACTCTATTGGGGAGCCAAAGTAGAAAAAAGAACTGACGCTTTTTTGAGGAGACGAAATGAACGTCAGGATCGTCAACAGAGCTCTCTAGACAGTGGTCAGCATACTGACAAAAGCAACGCTGAAAACTGCTGGCTGCATAGATGGATCACTAGTCTGTGATTTATATTA